ACGGAGGAAGTATCATTTCTATAGCTTCCCTTTATGTTCTTTTATCATTTCCTCAGTATTAAAAAAGAAAGGAAAAGAAAATTACCACTATATTGAAAACAAGTCTTCTTGGTTGAATGGTTAAAAAGCAAAATAAAAGAAAAATGACAGGAAATTGAATAAGAGAATCACTTTATTTAATTGATAATCAAAGTGTTATCGATTTAACTCAAAAAATCAAAACTGGACGAATAATCTTAGTAAGAAGTAATATACATACTTTCATCGTCCTAGTGTATTTGTTCAGTTTGACTTTTTGGATCAAATTTGATGAACTTTGAGCTTCAATTAAATAAAAGTCGTAACGTATTTTAGCATAAAAATGATTATGTTAGATTTGTCTTATTGATAACTTTTAAAATTTTATTTCATTATAGTAAAATTAGTAATACGCAATATAAATAAAGAGTAATTGAAGCTCAAAATTCGTCTAGTTTGACTCAAAAGAATCAAGGTAGACAAATATTGAGACGATAGCATAAATAAAAGAAGTAGTTATGTATCGCTTCTTATTTTTTATATATAGAATATAGTGGATCCTCCTACATAAGAAAAAGGGAATTGAATAAGGGAAAGTTTTGGGAACAACCATGTAGGAAGTACCCAAAGTCTACACTAAAGTTATGTACTAACATTTCGATTGATTTATACTTACACAATATGCTACTGCAATAAAAAGATATTGACTAGTATTTTGTATCTGTGTGAACCAACACACTGACACAAAATGAAGATGTATGCCTGCAGTGTACAATTTGGGATACAACTTTTAGGGTAAATACAGCTTAATTGATTATACGTGCATTAGTGTATCCGTTTTAACACCCCAGTTCAAATGACATTGGACATCAATGTCATATAGATCTCACTCAATATCTCTAGACATGATAGACATTATTCCATCGTTTCTTAAGAAAAATAATGAGTGTATCATCCATCAAATTATAAAGTACTCCCGGCATAATATTAGTTGTCACTAAACGATATGAATTACACCGTTTTACTATCACAAAATCCGTAAATCATACTTTTGATGGAGTATGATTTTTTTTCCAAAACTCATGTCTATTCATATTTAAGGATTGTTTATTTAAATTCATTTCTCATTCTTCTATGAAACAAATGCCCCTTCTAAATTTTTTAAAAACTACCTCATCAAAAACTAAAAACTTACTCCGGGCAATTTACGTACGTGAAACAAAGATCACCGCCAAGATTGGCAACAGTTTCAGCATTTAGTTTTAGCATTTTTCAAACTGCACTCGTGAAAAAATTCAAAATGCTAATTGAAAACGTTGGTTTCAAAACAAGGCCTACAAGGAGGGAGTAGTATAACATTTGGTCATGTTGAGTTGGACAGTTTCCATAACAGATTTGGAAAGCAGACCTCTCTGCCACAAATCATTCCAGAACAAACCAACAAGGCCGCCATTATCATCCCTGTAAGAAGCATTCAAGCTTTTGTACAGTTTAAGTGTCACCATTAACCTCCTCCTGTACATCTCATCCAGCAAATCTGAAGCACCTTTCATATTCCCTACTCTGAAGTATGCAAAAGCCAGACTAGTACACACTACACTGTCGGCCAAAATGCCCCTCTCTTTCGTCATTACCCAAAATACCCTTTCGGCGCAGCCCAGCTTCCCTCTCCTGCACAGCCGCCTTATAATGGCCCTGTAAAATGAGATGTCCACACAGATCCCCCTCTGCGAAAACTCGTCTGCTAATTTTACATAATCTTCTTCGTTGTCCTTTTGGAGGGTATATGCGTCCACGAGCCATGAGTATGAGCAGTAACCCGGAGAGAACCCAGCAAGAATCATGCTAAAGATCACATCTTTGGCGCTCTCCGGTTTTCTTGCCTTACAAAACCCGTGGATTAACGCTTTGTATGTGAAAGAATCTGGTGTCAGCCCAGCTTCCACCATCTTGTTCTTCACCTTCAGAGCCGATTCCACGTCTCCGATTTTGCAGTACCCATTGATCAACGTGTTACAAGTGACACTATCGGGTTCGATTTTCTTCTCACTCATTTGACTTAAAAGCTTGTTAGACTCCTTCATTTGACCGTCCTCGCAGAGCTTCCGTAGTATTGAATTGTAAGTGGCAATGCCAGGAAACAAACCTTTTTCTTCCATCTCACTGCATAATCTCAAGGCTTCATCTGTACCGCCAGCTCTGCAATAACCATCTATCAATATATTATATGTCAACTGGTTTGGAGTAGTATGAGCATCTCTTCCTCCTCTTTCATCAGTAATGTCCTTAAACATTCTCATCGCCTCTCTCATCCTGCCTTCTCTACAGTATCCGTGTATCAGAGAGTTGTACGTAATGATATCGGGCTCCACTCCTCCCATTTTCATCCTATCTTGCATGCACAAAGCTTCATAGTGCATGCCTCTCCGGCAGTACATCGATATCATTGTGTTAAATGTGTGTAGGTCAGCGAATATACCCTTAAACTCCATTTCACTCAACAGTTCATCTGCCTTCTCCACATTGCCTGATTTACAACACCCGTGAATTAGGACATTGTATATGTGTATGTTTGGGACAACCCCAAGTTTCACCATCTTCTTGTGTGTCTTCCACATCGTGTGGGTCAAGCCCTCCTTCACCAATGAGTTTAGGAGCACGGTGCAAGCATGTGGGTCTGGCTTGATCCTAGAAACATTCATATGCTCAAGGACTTGGATTGCATCCCAAGCAGACTTTGAATTTTTTGCATAAAATATCACCAGCCAACTCAGCACTTGCGAATTCACGTCGTAGTCATCATCACTTACAAGGGATTTCAGAACACGGGGACACGACACGAAATCTTTGTGTGCGATTTGATGAAGGATTTCTTTCGCGCTCTTGAAATGCTTGTGCTTCGTGAGGATACAAATCATGGTCCAAGAAGACTGCAAAGAGTGGCGGTAATTTGGGATGGTTTCTACCCATTTGAAGAATGACCAAGAGAGCCAAAACCAGCAAGGGGACAGTTTCAGAAGGGTTTGGTTCACGATTGCTGAATTCACTTGAAAACCAGTCTTGGGTTTCAAGAGAGCTTTCCAATGACCCTTGAGGACTATCCCACACAGAGTTTTGACAAGTTGACATTCTATACTTCCACCAAGAACATAGCTAGCCATCAACGTCTATGATGATAAAACTTCCATTTCAGCAGCTCAATGATAAAACAGCACTGAGCAGAAATCAAGAATGAGTCTAACATAGAATGAACTTACTAATTAGTGAAACTAACAATTCACAATTATAACAAGAACAGTCAAAATAACTTGATTTCTTAAAAAACTAAATCTTTCATTGCTATAACTTGAATTCAAATGAAATTTCCACAAAATGAAATTCAACTGTTCGCGTATAGGAACCATATCAACAAAAAATGGCCATGAGTCATAAGAAACTGATGACAGATACTAACTACTCCGCATTTAAGTTCATGTTCAACAAACATCACAATATTCAAATTCGTTGTTCCGGTTATTTTCATCCTTCTATGGTTTCTACATTTGTTTAGTACAAAAAGCTAACATGTTTCCTTGACAGGTCTCAAGTTTGAGCCTTATTAAGGGAACAACATTGGAGAACAGTTTCCATGGTGAGTTGTGACAACATCCCAACTTGGTACAGGTTGGATTGAAAATGGAATGGGATTGTATTCTTGGTATGGCACCACAAAAATTTAAAACAAAAACATTAGTGAGGACCAGAAAGAAAATTGTTTGAAAACTCGTTTTCTTCCTTAAAACAGAACACCAATAATTGAACAAAATAAGCTAAAATTTACCATGATTAGTGCTTTAAAAAAGAAGAAGAAGAAAAAAAAGAAGTGACCCCAAACAAGCTGGGATCGAAAGGCTGTACCTTTATGAAATTAGACTCATTCTTTTTTTGTGGGACAGATACCCGACCCGGATATGAAAATCCCTACCAACTGAATTGAGGAGAGTAAAACGTTTACCTAAGAACTGAAGCTTCTTCGGCTTGATCTACAAATTCTTGAAGAAAAAGAGTCTGTGAAAATCAGGAAAGGCGAGAATGGCTGGAAAAACAAAAAAAGACATGCCGGACAAATAATAATCAGTGCTGTAAAATGACCGTCAATAAGGGTTGATTTACTGCGCGACGGGGACTTCTCCGGCAGTCTTGTCGGCGGCTTGAGTCCCTGGAACAATGTGCGCAATTTTCATAGAACCCATTTTTTTCCATTTTTAAATATAAAAAAGTGTAACACAAATTATACTAATATTTTGTATCATTGTAATCTATTACATTAGCAACAAATCATTTTATATTAAATATGATGTAGAATTAAAAAATACGGAGTAAAAAGTACATATTAAAATACTACATCAAAAGATCTACAAAACTAGTAGTGACATAACCTATTTATTTTATTAGATAACTACCAAAAAAATGAGAAAAAAGTAAATAAAATTTGATCCAAATAGTAAACATACATTTTAATTTGATACAAAATGATTAGTATTTAAGAGAGCACTCCATTTCGTTCCAAAAATTCAATTGAAATCAATTGTATATTTAGGAGAGACTCTTTCAAAAAGAGGATGCTAAGGATGCTACATGTACTCTAAAATTTATACTTCATTTGTATACCAAAAGTATGCGCCAACATTTTGATGGTTCATACTGACACAAAGTATTGGTGCATTAACAAAAATTAGTAATACACCAACACAAAATGTTAGTGCATCCCTGCAATGTACAAAATGGAATACAAATTCTTGAAGTACAAATAGCATTTTCTCTTTCAAAATTTTAACTTTTAAAATACCCATTTAATACTCATCCCTGTAATCAACCTATAAATGAGGGGGGGAGGGGGGGATCTTTTTTTTTTAAATACTCAGAACATAATTAACTCATAGCTAATGTAAAACTTGAATTAACAACTAACACTTGTGCAAGCCATGATAATGTGTAACAACAAAAGCACAAGCAATATAACATGATGTCTTTGCAGAGGCAGTACATTTTAATTAGTGCAACAAGCAGATACAGGAGGAATTCAAGTACATTTGGAAAATGATGTACATGTCCTTATGCAGAGATTGAGAGAACAATAATTCCAGAGTAGGACTAGTCTTTCGGGAGGGAGGGGGGAGGGGTGGGGGGATTAATTGTAGACCATGTACTTAGGGGTGGCACTGAATTTCTGGTACCCTTTGATGACTTTGTTCACAGCATCAAGAAAGTCCTTTTCTGTCACCGTCTTTCTCCTTGCTCTGATTGCGTACATCCCGGCCTCCGTGCACACGCTCCTTATGTCGGCTCCTGACATCCATAACCAACCAATCAAACGAATATACAAGATTACCAACTGTCGTTAATCGCGTATATATAATTAGGACCTCTCATGCTTAATTTCTAGTTTTGACTGTCGTTAACCGTGTATATATAATTAGGACCTCTCAGCCTCTCGCGTATGTATACGGTAGTTTTGAATTAATTCTGTGTACGCACACCCTCCCGAGACCTTACCCTACTTCTGTGGGATTCTACTGCCGTTGTGTATATATATACATAGAGAAGGAGGGACTCTGCTAAGAAAGCAACTGTCATCATCATTATTTAACAGCAGGGGAAGATAGATGATCAGGGCTTATTACCAGTAGAGTTAGGACAAAGACGTGCTAAGAGTTCAAAACGGATATCCCTCTCACAATTCATTGTTCTCGTGTGAATCTTGAAAATCTGTGCCCTGCTTTCCAGATCAGGCAACCCAAACTCGACTTTGCGATCCAACCGCCCGGGACGCAACAATGCCGGATCAAGTGTGTCCGGTCTGGAAGAAACCAAAAAAAGGAGTTCAGTCATGTAACAAGCTTGTCAGTTGTCACAAATAAAATTCGGTCATATTACCTCCATCCCCCCCCCAAAAAAAACTCCATAACTATTTGCCAAAGTACTTACTAGTTACTTCTGATTTTTAAAAATTTATTTATCATTTTTGACTAAATTTGACATATCAAACTTGTCGCAAACACTTTTTTTTGGAATATTACATGAGATTTATTAAATCTTAGCTTCTCTTGTTAAAATAGAACTCCTTTTTAGGGACATACAATTTCAAATAGGACTTTTTTTCTGTGTGTGTGTGAGGGGGGGGGGGGTCCTAAGAATAAGAATCACAAAACTCTATATAAATTTTCCAGGGTAAAGTTAGCTGCAAGGTAAGGTATACGGAACCTATTGGTTGCCATGAGAACTTTAATATTCCCACGTGCATCAAAGCCATCAAGTTGGTTCACAATTTCAAGCATAGTTCGTTGAACTTCATTGTCTCCCCCAACTCCATCATCAAACCTTGCTCCACCAATCGCGTCGACTTCGTCAAAGAAAACAATGCAAGCCTTTTTAGAGCGTGCCATCTGCCATCAAAAGTAAAAACAATAAAAATAGAGAAACCCAAACAGTGGAANAGTTAGCTGCAAGGTAAGGTATACGGAACCTATTGGTTGCCATGAGAACTTTAATATTCCCACGTGCATCAAAGCCATCAAGTTGGTTCACAATTTCAAGCATAGTTCGTTGAACTTCATTGTCTCCCCCAACTCCATCATCAAACCTTGCTCCACCAATCGCGTCGACTTCGTCAAAGAAAACAATGCAAGCCTTTTTAGAGCGTGCCATCTGCCATCAAAAGTAAAAACAATAAAAATAGAGAAACCCAAACAGTGGAAGAAATGAATATATTTCCTTCAGTTTATTCGAACCTGAAAGAGTTCGCGAACCATCCGAGCTCCTTCCCCAACATATTTCTGGACAAGTTCACTGCCAATGACACGGATAAAACAAGCATCTGTTCTATTAGCCACTGCCCTAGCTAGTAGAGTCTTCCCAGTTCCCGGAGGGCCATAGCAGAGAACACCCTTAGGTGGGTCAATCCCAAGCTTCACAAATTTTTCTGGGTGGAGCATCGGTAGCTCAACCACCTAATGTTTTAGCATCCATAATGTCATTACCACGAATTACTTTTGCCAAAGTCATAATAGAGAGAAAAGGGAAGTACAGGAGAATTTTTTTAAAAGGAGGACAGCAAATTAACAATAAATGTCGAGACAATGGAAGGATTACCTCTCTCATCTTCTCAATTTGTTCCTTACATCCACCAACATCATTGTATGTCACATCAGGCTTTTCCTCGACAGTCATCATGGTGACACTTGGATCAATTTTGGGGGGCAAGGGAATCTGGATCTGATATTTATTCCGATCAACTCTGCAAATTTTTGAAAACAACAAAATAAGTTCACCCAAAAACAGAAGGCTGTGGCAGCACTACCCTTACTACAAGAATTAAAGAAATTTGTCAAATTACAGAGCAATAGAACTATGAAACTCCATATACCATCAAAATGGACATAATATAATGAAGTTAAACGGGGAACCTTAGAAGTTCTTGACATGCCAAAACGCATTCCCTTGTGAGAAATGTACATCCCACTACAGGGTTTACAGCTATTACTTTAGGTGAATATATTATATTGTGGCTGGTGCAGACACATTACTGGAAACTGCTTTAGCAATTACCAAAGTACATTAAAACATGGAAAAGGAAACATACCCAACTCGCATTCCCTCTTCAATATCGGTTGGTGAAACTTTGTCACCCAATCCAACAACAAACTGCAGGATATAAAGTATAAATTCAATCAACCGGTTGAAGCTTTTCCATGAGTGCATCGGCAAGGAATATAACAAAAGAAAAAGAATCCCACACAATATCATGCAATTTTGGCTTCTCTACCAGAATATGATTCCCTTCCCAAATCATGCAAAAAGAAGAATCCACAAAATAAGAGAGCATGTAAAGTTCATGATATACACATAACACATGTATAGATGATATCATGATAAGATATAGAAGCTGTTGTAAGATGTACAAGCAACTTGATGATCTCAAATGATATCCCAAAATTTTATCATTAGTAACAATACTCTTCTATTACAACCCATGTATTTTAAAAAAACATATGAAAAACATACAAATAGGACGTACCATTTCATAAGTCAAGTTGCGTACATCCATATACGATCATAAACTTTTTTGGCATAATTAGAAAACATGAATGAAAGATATTGGCAAAGATATGATGGATTACGTGGACGTATAATAGTAAAATCCCTAAGATTTACGGAAAAATTTGGTAAGATATACATGAAATCAGCTTTAATACAGATCTTTATGTTGGGCAATAGCAAAGCAGTTGAAGAAGAACAAGGTGAGATCACTGTGTTATGATGGAAATGTGGTAATAAAAGAAAATATAGAGTGCACAACAAGGAAAATTGGGGGGCGGTGTGTGAAGCAACTATAGAAAATAAAGTACTCCGTAAATGAGAATTAGTTGCACTGGTATGGGCATTTCAATAATTCAATCCTCAAGTAGGTACCTCAGTATGGAGAGTGGAGTATAAAGATTATATAGAAAGACACCATACCTTCGCTATTTGTTTTACGTTGATAACATATTTTGCATCTTCAGTATTTGGATTGATTATTTTTGTACATCTTGCAACCTGTTGACAAGTACAAGTTACAGCTTCAGCATAAAATATAAGTGATAAAAGAAACATGCTTCAGCATTGCTCATCATCAATATAGGCACACACAGACACACCTGAAGAGGTTGTTCCTCCTGCATCATTTGTTTATCGGAAACCAGATCCCATTGACTAGGTGCAGCCAAACCAGTGTCAGATTCCTTGATGCCTATAGTAAGTAAAATGCAATCAGAATTCAGAACTAACAAACACCCAAACAAAAGGAAAACACTGCAATGTGTTTGTTTGGCGCACTAAGATGTACATTGTCCCAACAAACAACTGAACTTTATTCACATAATGCAGAGCTGGGTTACTGGGTATCATGAAAAGTAAACGGTGAAACAAAACAAAAATCATTAAGAATGGAACATACCACATAAATCATTGATCTTCTTTGCCATCTCCTTAATATCCTTTTCAACTTTCTTTATATTAGTAGAATAAGGTCCCAGACCCTGGAGAAATAGATTCATTAACAAATCTAATAAAAATAATGATACAACAACCCAATAGAATCCCACAAAAGCACGGTCTGCTTGAGTACACTATGAAAATCATAGATTAAACAGATTTTAACTGTGGTTGGACCCAAGTCCATATTAGAAAATGGATTGTAGCACCACTTCTACGGGAAAAAATCATCAGTTTCGAGCAAAACACAAGGCAATGCACTTAAGTAAGGTAAGCATCATGCTCTGGCCAGATTAAATCGCTCAGTACCAAAAACTAATATAAACTTCCAAGTTTTCACCTCTTCTTCTCGTCTATGATAATCCTAATAAGAACGCAGTCCATAAGGCTGTTCCACCTAAACTAACAAAACAGCCTGCGAATGACAGGTCCTAGATCAAGAATAGCATCAAGCAAAATTCTCCCAGTAGCTTAAAATTAGATCATATAAAAATCTGAGCCGCTAAACCATTGGATTGTGAAAGGAAGAGCACATCTTTGCACGATCTTCCAATTACACGCATACTGAAGCATAAAAATTGTTCACATTTAGCCTCTAAATATCACTCTGATTGCAAATCGAGAGACAGGGGAATAGCAATTAGGGTTTAAGAAACAATACGTATGTCTTAAGAAGAGCAATATCGTCTTCATCGAGGGGCCTAGGGTTCTTCTCGTCCTTGATCTCATCGTCTATGTCGGCTGCAGGCGCCATTTTTCCAAGATCCCTTTATCCTTCTTCGCACTAACGGAGCTGGTAGAGGAACCGAGCGGATGAAGAAATGAGTCTCCGGGTTACTTGACGGGGACGAAGCTTTTGTAAGTCATTGATGACTTGGGCAATGGAAAACATGTTTTCGGCCAAATAAATAATATGGGCCTCAAATCGTCAGCCCAATTATGGGCCCCAAATCCCCTGGAGTTGATCCAAAATGAAAATAACTCATGTTAATAGTTTGAATTAGATATAGAGCCCTTTATTGGGGTTTTTGTTGTTTTTTACATTATCTACATAATTAATTGAATGAGATTATTGTATTGGTTGTTGTTATTTTTACACGATCTTCATAATTAACAATTTAACATCAATAATATATATGGAGTATAGAGTATTTTAAAATGGAAGTATTTTTTTAAAGAGAGTAAGAGTAAGAGCGTGGCACCAATTCAATTGAAATACTTACGATATTTCGATCGAAAAATTGATTATTCGTATCCTTAACCCTCCAACCCGGCCCCCCTGTAGCTAACCAATTACATCAAATAGTTGGGTTAATAGGCAGAAGCTATAGCGATGAAAGAGGGTTGGTTGCATGTCACTCTCGAGAGAGAGACTGAAGAATGTGGTTGATTCATTTAAATATTCTACCTGAAACTGGTGTTTAATTCTATTGCCGATGATTGTAAACATCTTTTGGCCTTATATGATGGAGATATTGCATTCATTTTTTTTTGCTCTGCTAATAATACAGCGCATTTGTAAACACGAGCATCTTCCTCATAACATGGAAGAGTTGTTCGATCATCCACAGACTCTTACCATCTAACTTAAATCGAATACAAAACATTGGTTTCAATATATATATATATATATATATATATATATATATATATATATATATATATATATATAACTGAGGCCCAAATGTTCTAATCACATCCAGTTGATCATTTTGACTTTTATGGTACACAAAAAGTTGAAAGAATATAAACATACTCCGTCACAAAAGTCGGCTTTTTGTGTATCACAAAAGTCATAACGATTAGTTAAATATAGATGGAAGAAATAATGTTTTTAGCCTGAGAAAGAACCTTAATCCTTCAAAATTTTTATTTTGAGGAACACATTAATACAGTAATAAACGAATTGGAAACACAACAATAACATTTGCATGAACTTCGTTGCTCTCATGTTCGAGTTTCCAACCAAAAAAAAAATCACTGAGAAAGAATTCTATAATCAATAGGAAATGTACAGCCAGTAAGAAATAAGGGAAACATGTCCTACTAAAGGGAGTTCCGGTACTTCGCGACATCCATCATGTTCAAATGATACCTTTGGCATATTGCAGATAGTGTGCTTTCACTTGTACCGTCTGATGTATGTTCGAGGTTCAGAAGTTTTTGTAGTTCCTCTGATGGGTTTAAAACCTGTTCATACCATCAATGGAGTTCATTAAGGGCTTGTTTGTTAAGAGACTATAATGACACAGTTACTTGCTCAGTTAAATCGTGTATTCCTACACGGCATCCCCACTGTGTGTATAAATGTAAGAATGGTTTAATAAAACAACTGTCACCCCTCCAAAAAAATCCCGACCAAACAAGGGCTTAGGATTCTTATGCCACAAATGATGAAAATTCATGAACTACAGAATATATGATGATCAAAGGTATTCCTCAAGTTGTTTGTCTCATTAAAAAATTCTATTTCTCACCTTGTTAAACAACATAGGTACATTTAGTGCTTTATAACAGTTGTGTATTTGTAAAATCAAAAAGTTATATGCTCATCAAACTGAACTCTTCTAATGGGATGGAGGGAGTACTAATCCCCCGTATGTTTCAATCCGTTTACGTTATATATCCTGTGTGTTCCAACTTTCCTTTTTAAGTAGTTCCAAATTAGTGTTCCCATTTCCTATTAATATCAATAATACTCTTCTATAAGCAGTGATTAAGCACTATCTACCACTAGGACTACTCTTAAACTTTTCCCCTTTTCACTCTCTTTTCTATACCCATCCACCACCATCACTCTTAAACTTTGAGCCAAATGAAATGAGAACACTAATATGAAACAAAGGGAGTATTCTTGACTAGCATATGGTTAGGAAGATTGCTAGTGGTGTTTCTGTTGTTTAACTCTCTAACATACTTCAACTTATCGTCTTGATGACTTCATAACCTCTAACATAATTCAACTAGTGGCGTTTCTGTTGTTCAACTATTTGAGAAATAGATCAACTTATTGTATCAATGACTTCATAAGTTCACAACCTCGGTCCTTACGCCTTTCAAAATGGCATTGACAACCAGGTTTTTCTGACTGAACTTTTATGTATTGTCAGCTATGCCAGTAGTATCTGTTACGCCCGATGTAGTTCTACTTGCAGTACCCTGACCAGCCTGACCTCAGACCATATGGTCCCTAGCTGTTATTAAAAGTTCACCTCGAGGGAAAAAGCATCTAAAGTTTTTCCCCAAGAACAAACATATATTTATAGCAAACAAGTAAGATTTTGTCACTTAACAACTTCATATCTAACTGCAGAAAAATTAATGTAGCTCACCTAAAGTACTGAAAATAAAATCCATAAAATGTATTTAAAAAAAAGTCTTAAGTCAGGTGAAATATTAGCAAGGTGTGGCAAAACATCAGAATTGGCATTTAGAGTGGAAGGTTATATGACAATCAAATGAAATTTCTTACCCATGGAGAATTTTCATTTGAATTGGCTTTCTTACATCTCATCTCGATTGTTGTGTTTTTATTGGAATGTTGTTGGTCAGGGTGTTCTGTAACTAATTCAAGAAGTTTTTCACTCCCCTGAAAGAAATCAAACAACTTCTATCAGAAAGCCAAACCACGACAGCTCTAAATACATTTTGAAGCTACATTATTAGTTCTAAAGCACCACAATCAATAAGTTTGGAGCTGAGATGAATAATAATTTCCCTAGAAAGAGCAACTCAATGTTTTTTATAGTAAGGCTGCACCTGTATTTTATTACTGAGACATTTCTGACTTTAGCAACACCCTACGAGATAAAGTTCAGTAAGCTTCACTTGTCACCATTGTTAATGAAATGTGCTCACCTTCAAAGCTCTCCAGTGAGAGTAAGTGCGGAACAAGATCCAAAAGAAAGGGATGTTAGGCAAGGGTAGCACCTACAAGAGATAAAAAAGCAGAAGAATGTAGATGCGCAGAAAGATTTATTTGTCAACATGACCTAAACCAAACATGAGAATCGCTAGAAATTCCACACAGGTTATTAGAATACCATGAAGACTGTTGTCAACGGGAGCAAAACAGTTGATCCATATAAGTACCGCTTGTGAATAACCGTTCCCCTAACAATTCAGTTCAACAAAGTTATTTAAAAAAAGTAATGAATATTCAAAAATCACCAATAGAAACAAAAGCAACTTCATGGAAATATGAGTCACCACAAAGCTATGGAAAAAAGACAAGTAAACCATTTTGCATTACCTGAATGCAATGTGTCTTACCCTTCGACGAACTAGTCGGCCATTTAAACTGTAGATTTAAAATATATGTATATTTCAGTATAAGCCATATATATGAAAACCGAATATACTGATTGTCCATAAGTTACGTGTTGGCATTTTGTACTTGGCATTTGATGTTCACACTAGCTTTAAGCTAAGAAGATTAAAGATTGGAAGTGTTTATGGAAGCATAAAACTTTATCATGTTTCAAATCTAAACCTTAAATGTAAACACAAATGTTCCATTTCAACACGTGACGTATACATTCATTCAAGTGAGATATGAGGTCATAGACAAAACTCTTACCCACGAAAACTAGGTAATGCTCCCTATGTCCCAATGTATCTTGCATGTTTTCATTTTTGGTCTATCCCAATTCATCTTGATCGTTCCCATTTACGTGAAGCATTATGTAGTTCATACTTTTTCCGACATTTGTCTATATATATCTCAACCACACAACTTTTACTTTTCATAATCTTTGAGCACAGTCAAGGTAAACCATAAAACTTGGACGGAGGGAGTAAAACACAAAGCTTAGAGGAACCATACCTAGATGGATAGGTGATTTCTACTTTATCCACCTCCTTCGAAATGGATTTTAAGAATATCTCAGAAGGCTTAACAGTAGACAGAAGCTTCAACCCTAACCTAACGACAGGAACAATGAATTTATCAAATAATAGCAATTGCAGAAACAAGAATACCAAACAAAAGCAAATGACGACTCGATCCTCACCCGTGGAGCTTGCTCTTGAAACTCCCAGCAGGTGCCTTCTCCAAATTACTCCACTGATTGCTCATCTGAAACCCAACACATAACTGATACGCCAGCAATGGCACATACAGACAACTATTGCGAAATCAAATCCTCCGTATATAAGACGGACCTTAGTGGTTGCGAAATCGACCACGAGTTCAATCTTGGACCCTGAAGGCTTAACCACGGCGGGTTTGGAGAGCCTGTTCCAGAGCTCAACGAGCGTCGCCGGAGTGTTGGCAGATTGTTCCTTGCATGCGGACGGGTCAACCGACCGGCTGAAACACCAATTCCGGCATCTGATCGGAAACGCCAATAACCGAGCTCTCGCCATCGACTCTGCCCGATTATCGTCCGATTCCAATGATTCAAACAGCGAGCGGGCGGTTATTAAGTGAAGAAGAAACGGATATCAATGGAGAGCGCGTAAGATTGTAAGCTATGGATCAGCTGTGAGGGAAATGTATTCAAAACGTTTTAGATTTCAAAGGAAATCCGCAGCGAACCGTGTCTAGCGAAGAACATGCTATCAAGTTCCTCATTGATGAGACAGAAATGGATGAAATGGGCTTTGGAAAGGTGTTCCAATTTCCAAACATGTTGGTAATTTAAATTTTGAAAAATTATCTCAAATAATTTCACTTTTTCCAGCTTTTTCAAAAATAATTTTATTTACTTTTACTCTCATTTTAAATAATTTCACATTTTCACATGTTTGCGAATTTTGGTCTCCGTTAAAAAATTATTGTCACTTAACAAAATTTTTGAAAATTGATTGTTTTTGCAAATAATTGAAAGGTAGGTTATTTTAGTTATTGTTTTTTTTAATTTCTAACTTTAAATTTAAATATATTTTTAAAAAAATTTGGAAAAATGGATTTTAAAGTAGAAATCAACTTTAAGTGTTTTTAGAGTGAAACTAATTGTTTTTTTCAATAATCGATAATCTGGTAATAATTAAAAATAATAATATATTCTACACCATGGGTGGCCCGGAGGGTGTGCAAAGTGGCCAACCGCACAGGGCCCCTAAAATTTTAGGGCCCCATATATTTAAATTTGTTAATAATTTTAAAAGAAAAGTATTCTAAAAAATAAAATAGGGCCCAAAATGTAAATTTAGGATCGGGCCAATTTTATTTTTTCAATTTTCGGGGCCGGCCCTGTTCTACACAACAGAGCTAATTTATTTATCTCATAATTCACTACATTTTATTTATAAATTGGAATTATTTTTCTTGAGCGGCACTTCGATTTTTTATTTTTTTATCCTATATTGTTATTATTAATTCTTAAAAAAATGGCACTACAAAACTTTTAAATATTTTTCGATAATACTATATAAATATTTTTTACGAAACAACATTACAATTGTAACGCCCCAAAATATACCCTAGAATTATTAATGAATAAATAATCAATTAATCAAATTTGTTTTGATTAAAATAAATTATTGTTGGGCTTTGGGCCGATACGAAATTTGTTTCGACATCTAATATCAAAATCTGGATAAGTCTCATAGAGATAAATCCAATATGTGGACTATTTGTGTGGTCTTGATTGGGAACCTGAGTACAGACCCAAATCAAGAATAAATAAAGAATTTGTTTAGAATGTAAATATTGAAATGATTTGTTGAAATAAATTATGAGAATAATTGATATGAATTAAATGAAAGAACCTTTTATGAGAAAGGTCAATTAAACCAATTTTTACTCTGTTAAAGTCAAACACCCAAAAATATGATGTCGGAAAAAGTATTACAAATAAATATAAAAGTTATATCGTTGGATAGAGTTCGACTGTCTGGTCGCAACGATGCAAACAGAATTCAATTCGGAGAAAGTTGGACCAAAAAGAGTACCCCGACTCGGACCGAAATTAGTCCCAATCAGGGAAGAATCGTGTAAATATCCGATCGGCGCAGCCTCCTCCACTACGCGACTTTCATACGCAGAAATGAGTCAGCCAGTGTCCTCTTCCCCTTCTCTTCTTCTATATAAGGGTACTCCATCCTTACAAATTCTGCACCAATCTTCTGGAAAATTATACCATTGTGTTTATAAGAGTGAAGGGAGGAGTCTGGTGTTGTTAGTTGCCGCCGAAGTCGCCGGAGTGGGGAGTAATCATCGCCGGAAGTTCCGCCGGAAAATATTCAAAAGCTTCATTTACCTTCAAAGTAAGCCTCTAGATATATCTAATGACTAGAATGTTCATATAGGTCGTTTCTACGTTCATAAATGGTCATTTGGTTGAGTTTTGTGTTTGACATGTTTGAAGAACCAAGAATCATAAACCTTGAATTTGATGTTAAAAATATGTTTTAATAATTCTAATATGATCTATGAACCTTGGAGAACATCTCTATATAGTTTAATTGAAGTTCGGTGACTAAAAATGGTTTTCCCGAAAAATGGACCGAGGTTGAAGACGAATGAACAGTGGCTGAAAATCCACAGAGTGGATCGATCCCCTTCA